TAGGAAAAAAACATTGAATTGTAAATAAAAACTCAAAAAAGAAAGGAAAGCCTTTAGCAAATTTTATATGTAATTCTTTTTATTCAATTTATTTTATATTCGAATAACTTAAATGTAGTTTTTTGTAGCTGCTCAGATAGTTTAATGTAATCAACAAGAAAAAAGCATAGAAAAAGTTCTTATAAAGCAGTAAATTTATTGGGGAAAATTACTGCAGTATTTTGGTAGTATTAAAAATTAAATTTGTTGAACATTACATAGACCAAATTGTTAAAACCTTTGTCCTTGTGGCTCTTATGCATACCAAATACGCCACGAAATCGTTTAGCAGCAAAAGTTTTCTGATCTTTCATAGCTAACTGTTGACTGGGGGCCTGTAGATCAGCCTAATCATTTTTCATTTAAGTTGTTGAGAAATAATACTATTAAATAAAGTACTTTGTATCTGCGATGATAACACGCTTCGTAAACAAACTGAACAGTTACTTCTTTAAAAAGCTATCCATGAAGTAAACATCTTGTACAAGATAAATTGTTGGAATTGTCAGAACAAAAACAGTTATTGACAATTCTAACGTATATTTTATTTATTATAGGCTTTATACAACACATACTTTGTGAGGATTGTAAAACGATGTTAATCTACTGTAAGCATAAAAATATGCAAATAAGAATCGTTACAAAACAAATGTTGTGACATTTAAAAAGTAGTTTGTAAAATTCAAGTAGAATACAGTAACAAATTATTTTATCAAGTGATCAAGATTGACATAAAAGTTTGTAAAAATCATGGTGAATAAATTTCTGATTTACTTTAACTACGGTTAATAAAAAAGTAAAGTTGATACAAGACGAAACAACTCGGTTAGTGAAGCAGCTCGGTATTAACCAGCAACGTTAACGATAAGGCAAACAGTTAATATTTCTCTGTTAGACCAGGAAGAAGCCTCACCATTAATTAAAACCATCAATGCCAACAAGAAAAACCTTTGAAAAATTCAGATTCTCTACAACAACAGACAATCTGTTCAGTAACCTTAGTCATCATGAGGTGCTTCCAATTACATGTCCTAATCTTCGTTTAGACGTTATTTTCTGCTCAGTGGTAGCATTAGTCATTACAAGGAATTGACCATCAGTATATCAGACAGTTACTATTTTTTCTTTTTTGGTGGTAATCATTTAGGTTGTGATAATTGAAAAGAACTCGTAAAAATCATCAAAATAATCGCTGAACAATTTCCTACAGAAACTGATTTTGCAGTTTGAATTAAGTTTCAGCAGTATAAATGAGATCCTAAAAAAAAAGTTTTAGATTAGCTCTTGTTTCGAAAAATTTCTACTTTAGCATTTAACTGTTAATGACTATTTAATCTGATAAATGAAGAAAAAAAAAGAAAAAAAAAACTAAATATTCCCAAAGTCAAAAAAAATTTTTTTTCCTATTTTTATTTTATTTCATTTTTTTAAAGATCTATTCAGAACTCTTAATACCTTGACCTTTAGCGCAGCAGATTATACTTTGTGACTGCTCTATCAAGAGTCAGTCTTAACTGAACGACTACTGTATTGCTAAAATAAAAAAAAAAAAAAGGGAGACAGATGTTTATACGAGCCGATGAGATTATTCAAGTTTTTGAATGATTAATGCTTTTTTACAATTACTAAAAAAATGACAATTTGTTTTGTTTAGAAAACAATCACTCAATTATTTATTAATCAACCGAGAGAGTAACCAATAATAAATTTTCGTATCACTGTCTAGCATACATCAGTTAGATAACACCCTTTGCCAATTACAAAATCGGCAGAATTGTCAGGAAACCAACTTGAAGAAAATAATCTGTTAAAAATTGTTCTCTATAATTCATTAACTTCATTACTCTTTGTAATTGCGATTACATCTATGAGGCAATTACTTGCCAAAAATTTAGTCTGCTAAAAGATGTCACAGAGAAGTTATGGCAAAAACACTAAAAAGTTTAAGCATTACAACAGCTTAAGGAAATGCAATTACTATCTTAGTAAGACTTTGATGAGTTAAAGTCAATCAGGTTTTTAAATGACACTCTGCTCCTACCTCCTCATTTCCCCTCGCCTTCAAATAAGATTCACAGTTTTACAACCCACAAACGAAGCAGAAGCCTTTTATTTGTTGTTGCAAAAAGCGCTAGTAATTTAAAATTTCAAAAAAGCTTTTTTAGCAAGCCTCCGTTATAACACAAAATTCTTCCATGTTTTTGATGCTGTCACTGAAAATAGCTAGTCAGTTCATTAAAAATATCAATTTAACAACATTTAACAGTATACAAAAAGTAATAAAAAAATCAGACCGCCGTAGATACTGGTGCTGTAAAAAAGCTTCGGATTCTGCCTCTTCCCTTCCAAGGCTATCATTTCAAACTGCTCTGTTTAAGTCTTCAGAATGTGCCATCACCATACTCTTCAAACGACAATTTCTCTACTTCAAATGTTCCTTGTTTCTAGAGGCTGTTTTTTGTCACAAAGCGTGCTAAACCATTTGATAACCGCTACTCACTAGACAGTTCCATGTCATAAAGTCAACGTAGCAAAGATGATAAAAAGCTTGTGCGCTGTAAAATTTTAAGAAATGCAACTACTATGTTGAAGGTATTTTGATGCGTCATATCTGATTAGCTTCTTACATAACATCTTCGCTTATGTCCTGCTGAATTATTCAGACCTCTTGCAATTTCTACAGAATCTCCTTACTGACGGGGAGTGGAAGCATAACAATTCCTGTTCTCCTGCTCTAAGGAAACGAACAACAGAGGTGATTTTAAATTTTAAAAAAATAATTTGAATTCACCTTTTGCTGATAAAATAGTGAAAAAGCTTTCACAGTCAGTCTAAATACGATAAACCTGAATCCCAAGCTGAATACCAAATTCAAGCGGCAAGCTTACCTACGACACCACCAACTTCATTAAAATTCTGATTCCGTTTTGGAGATCGGATTTTGAACTTTTGGTATACTCTAACGGCAGTTACACTAAATCATTTTTGCGCGTTGCACCACTCCCGCGCAACATTCACGCAAAACCACTTCTGCATTTATATAATTTCCTCTTTTCGCTTCCAAGACCTTTGAAATTTCAACCGACCTTTACATTTAGCTTAAATCCACCAATGTAACACCCGCCAATTTATAACTTAGATCTGACTTTCTTGTCGACAGAAGTACAAACGGAAACTAGTACGTTTACTTTTTGCTATCCACTGACTTTTATGTGCAGTAAACAACCATTTAAATCTCTTTAAATTTTTAAAATTTGGCAGCACCACAACTCTGCGGTCACACTTCAGCCTTTTCTCGCCCGCAAAGTCGATGTCAAAGAGTGCTGCCAAATTGTACTAAGGACGTCATCCCTTACCTACCTAGAACCATCAAATCCAGACTACTGTTTCCCCGAACGAACCGATAGGAATTGAAACTATGAAAACTGCAAATCTACTCAATAAAATTCTTATACATTCAAATTGCAGTAACAACTGCAGCAAAGAAACATGCTCTGCAAAAACAATCAGTTCTAGAAATGAAAAAAATGGTAAGTTGCAGTATAACAAAAATTTCCACTTCCCTTTAAAAAGTAACTCTCTAAAACTCCAGAGTTATAAAATTTGTTCATTATCGTTAACAAAGGCTGAAAAAATACATTACTAGACTGCAGATAATGTTAATTGGTAAACATAAGTTATAACTCGTTCAGTTCAATAATCACAAGTTAATCATGTAAAATATCATCACTAAGAAGTTATCACAAATATCCATTTTAGAAACATAAGCTTAAATACGTTCTTAACAGTAGCATATGATACCGTAAGTGACAGTCATGTCTGCAGGAGCCAACATGCTTAAAACCAGTACGCACAAAAAACCACCATCTTTCAAAACTCCTGCGGTAAATTTTAAGCTCATCCTGATAATTATAACCAAAACCCGCAAATTCTGGAAGTGGCAGTCACAAAACTAGGCTATCACATCATTCGTTATCACTGGATTCATAAGTCGATCCCGAGTTATCTAATTCGCTGCTACTAGACCCTTTCCCAACAAGTTCTGTTCCCGTTGCCACTAATAGCACTTCCATCTCGGCATTGGGATTACTGAAATGTCAAATTTAGCGACATTCACTACGGTGACTTGCTCAAACATAAACAACTAATTTTGAAAGTCAAATTAAAAAAACTGTTTTTAGACTGTTCTAAGATAAATACTTCACATGTTTTCAAAAACTACTGGATAATATGTATCAAAAATTTACTGTACCAACAGTAAACTTCTAACTTATTATCCAGTTATTTTTTAAAATATAACTTTAAAATTTCAGGATCGATCCCGTCAGTAGCCATTTTTTGTTTTACAGCAGCCTCCAGTACACCCTTAAATATTATTCATTAGTGGCGTCCATAAAAGCACCACTGTTAATATTCAACCAAAATTTTCTCAGCAGTACTCTTCAAAAAAATGAATGAATAAATAAATAAATATTAATGCAGTTACCAGTCTTAACATTTTAAAATATTTTGCATAGCGAGGGTCATCCTGTGCCTTAATTTTTTTTGTCAATTGATTCTCTACCTTCCCTCTACTTTCTTCTGATTCTGCAGCAGGCTCGCTCTTCTCCGGCATCTTTTCAGCACTCAGAGAGTCCGTTATGACATCAGTCTCCAAAAAACCACTTTAAAGATGTATAAAATGGTGTCCCAAAAAGTCACGAAATGCAACACAATTCTACAGCTTAATTCCAATTAAATTTTTTCATTGGAGCAAACATTAGCCTAAAGCGAATACAACTGAAATTAAGAAGAATCAAGTGCCTGCTACAAAATAAACAAAAATGCAAAACCCAACTGCCATTCACATGGTATTGTCAGCGAAAAGAGTTACCTAAACAGACTTCGAAAAACTTATTTAGGCGAATATAAATATTATTTTTATGCTATTAAACAACACATATATAATCTAATGCAAATAAAGTTACTGAAGGCAGTTGTAGAGTCAAACTAGGGTCTGCCACAGATCCACTGCCCACGGTTTCTGAAGTTTTGGAAAACACAGGTTCTCCACTGCGAGTATCTTTAGAAGTTCCTGCTTCCTGAATACTTGGAATACTATCCAGCTGCAAAACAGAAAAAATTTCAACAAACCTAATTATATGCCCAATTAGAAACTAGTGATTTGAAATAATTACATACATTATTGAAGCACTATACCTTCGCCTCTAGTAATTGAAGCTCCACCGTCAACTTTTTAATACGATTCTCTATTTCCAAAACTCTTCTTTCAGCATTGACCGCAAAAGAATTGATCAACTGAACGTCCCGCATAACAAAATGATTAACAAAAGCAATAACCCTTTTTATATCCAATGGTGGCACCTAAGAGATGACAAGTTGATGTTATTAACTCCTTACTTAGTGTTTCAACAAGCTTGAAAGCAGTGAAGAAAGCGAAGTCAAAAAAAAAATGCTGAAGCGCACATACATCCCAAAGAAGCCAGCATAACAAAGCCTTGACCACAAATGTATAGAAGAAAAAACAGATGTTTATCCGTTACCACAACAAAAGAACTTCACCTACCTGATCAAGCTTTATATCCGGCGTTATGAAACTGAGGTCCGGATCCATTGCCTTTGACAGACTGACCGTCTTAGAACGCTCCTACTGATCTGCTAGAATGCAAAAGATACAGAACCCCGACATTCAGCTACATCATTTGACGAATACTCATGTCCAACCCACTCTTCTCCAGAAATTTTCGACACTCATTCTATTCCAGAGAAAGTAGAATTTGAAGGCTCCATACCACTTAATCGCATACAGAGCAAAATAAGACTTCAAGTCAGAGAAACATGTTTTGCTCGCCAACTTTAAAAGGTGAAATATGTTATACCAAGGGGAACAAAAGATGCAAGCAGTCCAAGGATTATCAGATGCCTTTATTATATTTCGATTAAGTTTCGAATCAGGAAACCGCACTGACGCGAGTGCGTAAAAAAACCGTTGTGATTTCACCACCAGTCCTAAAGAGAGCACGCAATAAATCAAAACGCGGAAAACAAACTTTTGGCTGGTGGAATCAGGATGAAAATACCGAAACCAAACGTAAATAGGCAATGTTCAAAAAGGAATTCTTCTTGGAATAATTAAGAAAACTGGAGGTAAAGTGGCCAAAGTAATACAACTGCAGTAGAAGGCTGCATTATGCAAAGAAGTAACTCAAATTTCTTTTAGAATAAGCTAGCCCAACTTATAACGACACACAAAGTTAAGAAGTAACTGTAGTCTCACTTCAAAATCCTATCTACCTACTTAAGTATGCATAACAACCGAAAACAGAAAAAAAGTAAAACAATATGGTTACACGAAGTAACAGAGAAATACGTAGTCAACGCCTAACAACTTTATCAATGACTGCATATTCTTCTATTGGTTCAACATGCAAGTTCTTCAATGAGTTGCGACCGACGTCGTCCGACGAACTCGAATTGTCTGACGTCGTTCCCGAGTAAGACGTATTTGTCGACGGTGAACTGTCGAAAAGATGCACTAAACTTAAAGGCGGAAGACGATCTGCTTCGGGTAATAAATCATTCAAAACCCCAATCTGTGGCAATAAATCCTCCAGTTCCGACTAAAATACAAAGAATAAGCTAGTCAAGGAGGTTATAAAAAGCTAACAATCTCTTTCAGTATGAGAAGAACAAAGCTAAAAGTCACAAAATTTAGCAAAATACGGATATACATAAAACACTTGTTAATAATTGATATAATCAGCACTTGCCAATTAGTAAACTCTGTTACAAAACAAGCATAATAGAATGATTTAGAATAATAAAA